GACCATGTCCGACGGAATAGAGAGGGTCTTTGACGGTGCAAATTGGAATGCTTTATTCGTAAATAATATTTTTTAGGTGTGAAATATGTAAATTCTATAGTTTTGTGTGATTTGCATGTAAATTCCCCCTAGATATGTAATTATCCCTTACTTTAATGCAAACACATCAAGATTTCCCATGGATTATAAATTGAACATGAAGGCAAGCTCTACTCCATCTCCAATTCTTCGCAGGAAACCATACCAGCAATGGGAAACTGTCAAGCGGGGGAAGCAGCCACAGTACTGATCCAACACCCAAACGGCGCCTCCATGAAATTCTACCACTCGCTAAGCGCCAGCCATGTCATGGCCTCTAATCCCGGCCACTACGTCGCGATCATCATCACCTCACAGCCTATCCCCAACCCCTCCAGCGCCGCCGCTCCAGTGAAGCAACTAAGGCTTCTCCGCCCCGCTGATAAGCTCCATATAGGACAAATATACCGCTTAATTAGCTTCCAAGGTTTGGCCTTTCTTCTCGATTTCAATTTCGATTTCCTGCCGCTTTATTTATTTTTTTGGCTGATGAAATTGGGGACCGATCACAAGTTCTTAGCGAACTGGCGTCGAAGAAGAAGGTGAGGCTTAGCAAAATGATTCTTGGCTGCGAGGAGAAGAGGATGAGCGACCAGAGCAGAGGAGGTGGAGATCGAGCGGCTGAGTCCGGCCGTATCTCGCTGCCGGCGAAGGTGAGTTGGATTTAAACTTGTATAAAGCTTTCCGTGCCGTTGTTCTAATTTTAGAATTCAGATGTTACAGGCGGCGGAGGACTACGAGAAGCAATGCGGAGGAGGGACTGCCTTGCTTCTGAGGCCTGCGCCATGGAGGCCAGCTTTGGAGAGCATCAGGGAGATTGAACAGAGTTGAGCTCACCGGCGGTGCTGTGATTTTATCACAAAAAAAATGGAGATTAGTGAAGGATTTATGTATGCAATCATTGATAGAATGAGGGGAAATTTTCTAATTAGAGTTTTTGAGCAGTTATGGTTTGGAAATCATCAATACTTAATCTTTTGTAGTTAAATGTCTGCTTTGAATTAGTTGGAGTCTTATGGTATGGTTTGA